TCTGAGCGGGCCCGGGGCTCTGCGGGCTGCGCCCAGCGCCGCCGCCCGAGTGCTTTCGTGGCGCGGGTGCCTGCGGGACTGTGGGATTCCGGTGCGTTCGGAGCACCCGTTCCTACCCTAGCTGTGGGAGAGCCGTGTTCCTTCAGGACGTTCTTGCACCCCATGCCGACGCCTTTCCTAGGCTCTTGTTTCAGGAATCTAAAGTGGATTCGTTTATGGAGTGAACAGGAGGGTGAAGTTACTGTGTTCCTTCACCAGAGATTGTGCTGACGAGATGATTTAATGGGTCTGCAGTCTCGTCTTCGCCTATTTGGCTGAGGGCTTGATGTAGTTCAGTCAGATTAACAATGCCCGAAGGTATTCAGCCGTGCCCTTCTGCCAGAAACGACACGTCCCTTCATGGGCTAGCAGTGCCTTGCAGATTTTTTAGCCAGTTCAATTCCAAGTAAATCTGTCAATGACCTGTTCTTCTGGTGCAGCTTTTGGCCCAAGCCACTGCAGACTGCTGGAGCCTTGAAGCTTAGAAGGGAAGTTGTATTTTGTGAAAAAAAGACCCTCTTGTCTCATTAATAGTTGTTTGTTTCCCTCAGAGTTCACAGAATGGTTAATTTGTATTTAAATTTAATAATACATTTGGGGCAATTGTTCAAGGTAGGACAAATAGCATTAAGTGAGTTTCCTCCTGCAGTCAGCATGAAATAAATTGTTGCTGGGGAATTTTAGGTGGGGGTTTTGTTGTTCTAGAAATCTGAAACAACGTAAAGAGAAATTCTAAACAAACTTTACCTCCTGAAATTATAATTTTTCTGAAAATCCCAGGCTACTGTCTCATTTAATGTCATTTCTAACAAAGTTCCTGAAATGTTAATAGCAGAAAATGATCCTGGGGTTCTTGCCCAGAGTGTCCAAGCTTTTCTAAGATGAAGTGGTCAACTAGTAGAGTTTGGAACATTTAGGAAAAAATATCTGTTAAAAATGAAAAACGAAGCATGACTATTATAGGGTTTTTTCCAACCTAATAATTTCTGTACAGTTTGGTTGTAAACAAAATTACTAGTCTTCTCACAGAGAAAATGAGGTTTATTGTATTTGTTCCCATGCACTGCTCTGGCTGCTTGTCCCCCTCAGCTTCCAGTCAGCCACCAGGTCTGGTCTAACCACCTCCATGTTCCTTGTTCCCTCACCTTGTGATTGCGACTGAAGTATGTGCATAAGCTCATGTTGGATTTACCCACGGCTTTTCTTGTCATCATATACCTGTGGAGCCAGGCTCTGGAAGGAGTGCACAGACATGGGGTTTTTAGTGTATTCCACTAACACACCCCTTGCCCTCGGCTGGCACCCAGGCAGTGTGAGAGAAAGGATGCACCCTCACGCCTACAGTACTCAGAGAGGATGAGGGTTGCTAATGAGGGATCTGGAGTAGCAAATAGCTGCACAAGCTGCATGTCCAGCCCTGTTGTCAGACCCTGTGTATCACAGCAATGTCCCGGCTCATCGGCTGTCGACGCTCATCTCCGCAGGGCTGTTGGTGTGGTCACTACGCGCTTGGCTGGATTCACTTCTGGAGCTGAGCGGAAGCTCTCAGTACCACATTTCCTAAAAAATGTTTTCTTATTTGTGGGATGGCCTGATCTGGACAGACTGGCTCTGCAGTGCTGAGACCTAATGGCGATTTATCGCTGGTGTTCCTTCCTCTAAACCTGGCTCTGTACTCGCGCCAGGAAGTTCGTTCGCCTAAGGTGCCAGGGCTGCGGGCGGGAGTTTTTTTGTAATTACCCGCGCTGCGAGGGGTAGGAAGGAGCGCGCAGAATTTACAACCAAAAGCCGAACGAAATAAAAACTAACTCCTATCTTCCCACACCGGGAGTCGAACCCGGGCCGCCTGGGTGAAAACCAGGAATCCTAACCGCTAGACCATGTGGGATTGCACGTCTCTGCGGCTGGCTTTTGCCCACTAATTCCTGCTTGGTTCGTTTCAGCGCGGTTCCCTGCCCGCTGCGTTTTCTGTCACTGCATGCTCGTGCTGCGCGCTGCCCACCGCTCCTTACCCCTTGCCCGCTGACCACCGTTCACTGCTCGTTGACCTCTGCCCGCACCGTTGGTCAGGATCAGGGACTGGGGTGAGGGGTGCAGGGCCACTCCCTCAGTTAAAAGATGAGGTTGAAGGTTGACAAAACTGAAGTAGGAAATTACTAATGGGAAGATGAACAAATGAAGTATGGCCTAAAAAGGCACAGAAACTTTGTATCAGCCACCGGAGTGCTCTGAAACAATCTGAGCAACGACAAAAGCAGGCAGAACAACTGCACTACCCAGTTTTGACTACAAGAAGTAGTCAAAACAACCTTATCAGACACTGGTAGAATGCAGGTAACAGGTGGCACACTGAAGTGGCTGGCTGCAGATGTGCAGGAAGAACTGACTATTTGGCATGTGGAGGAGTGATGCTGGATTATTGAAGAAACTTCAGAATGAATGTACTTAAACCATTTTAATCTTCCAATATGTAACACTGAACTGTGAAAATGGAATATGTGGAAAATTCACACCTAAATAGGCAAAGGAGAGAGTTAGGACTATTGTAGTGAAGCATGTAAAACCAGTGGTGGTGACAGTAATGTATTTAGGAGGTCAGAGTTGCTACCAAGGCAGAAAACATCATTATGAAAAGTCTCCAATTACACCCACACCAAGTGAGTAAATGTCACATCAGCATATCATGTGCTTGCTACATTTAGATTTCACAACGGCTTGATTTCTGGAGCAGCTGGTTGGAGAACATAAAAGAAACAATTGAGTTTAATGCTGAGTCGTGTGAAGGGCTGTTAGAACAGTCATGTGTCACCCTGATTCTTAAGTTTTTCTAAAGCCTTCTGAGTTTACATTCTATTGGGAAACTTTCCCACACAGTTTCTGTAAATAACATGTTGTTTTGCATTCCTTCATAGAGGTGGAGAGACTTGATGTACTAGTGGTTTGTCCAATGTCTTTGGAGAGGTGGCCCATTCACTCTCCAATCCACTGTCACCTTTAGAAAAGTATAAAAGTTAGAGTCAGAAAATAAGCTTTCTCTTTTACCTTGCAAAGTAGCAGGTAGCTCGCATTGTGCTTTCTCGTGTCCTATAGCGACAGTCATGCATAGCAGTGAGTATAATGTATTTAATCTGGTGACATTGAAAGAACAACATCAACAAAGAAATTCCTACCTCAAGAGATTATTAAAAAATGAATAAATCAAAATGATAGCATGGTTGCAAGAAGCATGAGGATTCTAAAATTACTCACAACACTTGTATCACCACAAAGAAAAAAGCTATGGCTACAAAGAACCATAAAAAAGGTTATGGAAATATTAAATTAAAGATAAAACACCCTTCAAAATGTGAAGATGGCATAGGTGGCATATGGACATGGTCCATATGCCAGAAGAGAAAATCCTGAATAGGTTATAAACTATCAAATTAATCTGACAGTAACTACAGAAGGTAAATTTGAGCAGATTCTGTTTCCTTGCATGGATCCAAATTACAACCCACTGACCTGCATGAGGTTGCTAAAGACATGGACAAGGACTGGCTGACAGCCAGACAGCCCAGCTTTTTTGGCACACAGTGATCTTAGTCTGTCTCTGACACGAGGGGGAAATTTGCTCCCCAAGGACTTGACCGTGGTGGTGGAGAGATTTGAGCTTCTTCTATGTATCAACCTGCCTGTCCTCAGCTTCTCGTCTAGTTTCAGAAGTAGATGAATCTCTGTCTCCTTCCAGAAGGCTTAGTGAGATGTCAGTATGAGCAGCAGTGCCTGCACATACGCCCCTCCACTTTTGCTTGCTTAGGAATTGCATGTGAGAGGAGAGCAAAGGTTTTCCTTTGTTAACCATCCCTGAAGATCAGGACTTGGGGAGGCAGAACTTTGGCTTCATTTCAACTGCCCATTCTCATACTATTAATCTCACCTGTCTGTGAAGCTGTTCTCAGGTTCCCAAGAGCACTAACAAGCCCTTAGGCCAGCCTCACTTAGGGCTTGCACTCCAGCCCTGCCCAGGAGCCCCAGTTCACATCAGCCCTGGACCCTCAGTCCCCATCTGAGCTGAGGTGTGCTTGTTTCCAGTGCTCTCACCAATGTGCCCATGCCCATGGCCATGCCCAGCCCTGAGTCTCTCTGATCCTGACCTGGAGCCTGCCTGCCTGACCTAACCTCTCAGTTACTACAGACCTGTCATGGGCTAGGCCTGTCCCTGGTCACCATCACTGGCCTCATGCTGATCCCAGCCTGCAGACTGACTTTCCAGGTTGACCTCAGACTTGCCTCATCCCTATGAACTGCTCAACAGTCTGGGCTACCCATGAGACAGCCCCACCATGGTGGGGCTGACCATGACCTTCTGCAGATGTGCTATTCTGGGGGACTACCTGCAGGTTGCATGGGGTAGTCCCCTGAGACACTGCTCTGGTGTAATCCCAAGTGTTTACACTCTCCTCTAACAGCAGCTGTTCACAATGAGCAGCCTCAGAGGTACATGGACAGAGACGTACAAGTTTGAGTTGTCAGCACACAGCCTGAGTGCACAGCACTCAAATTAAAATATGAGAACCTGTTGGTTGAGTTGATCTGCTTAGTAGATCTCCAAGATGTTTAAAAAACTAACAAAGAACAGCCTTCAAAGGGGTTTGCCTAAAGCTGAATACCTACATGCTGAGAGGAACCTAGCTTGCTTGTCACAGTCAGTGCAGCACAGGGGGACATTGAGCATTGCAATGCTGGCAATAACAGGTTTGGAAAATTCACTTCCCCCTGCAGTTATGTGGTAGAGCAAAGAATTTGCTGCTGTTACCACTGAGTTCAGAAAGAACATGGATCATCCTCAAACCCTTGACTGTATAAGAAAGGATAACAGATAAAGAGTTATAACCCACTTCTAGTGCTCATGATAGGATTTCTGTTTTCAGCAGGTGGTTGCAGGCAGAGGTCAAGACAATACCTGAGAGCAAAAAGAATTGAATTTTAAAAAATGAAAACTATTTTATTTTATTGAAAGGATACATTAAGAAATAACAACGTGCATAAATTTCAGTTGAAGACACCTATAAACAACAAAATGGAAGAAATTTTTTTGTGTTAGTTAAGAAGAACAGGAATAATGGGATGAAGCTGAGAAAAAATAGGCAAAACAACTTGGTGGGATTTCAGATAGGTGTCTGAATGGTTATCCTAGAGACAACAAGGCCAGAATGAATTATCCCCAGAAATGCCTCTGCACTGGTCAGAAATGGTCAAAGTGATCTCACAAATCCCCATCTTTCCCCCTGGCCTTCCAGGTTACTCATAGAAATAGGGATTCAATTAGTTTGTCAAGGCTTGTGATAAGAAAACATCAGATTGTAGGATTAACTTGAGGAGTTACAGGTTCTGCCTGTGGCTAAACAATAAACTCAGTTCTTGCCAAGAACCTGCAATATTACATTGTGTGGCACAAACATCAGCCACAGCAAAGCCAGAGGGCCAAGCAGCACTTGCACCCCAGTGGGAGAGCAAGCAGGGTGGTACAGGGAGGTGGCACAGCTCTGTCTCCGCTGCTCATGCTGCTGTTTGGGTGCACCGGTGGTACTAGCTCAATCTTGTGTAATAAGCCATGGTCACAGGCATCTCAGCAATTGGCCTCTGCTCTGGGCAGGTGTCCCCCAGCTCAAGGCTGCTGGTAGAGAAACAGTTTCATGTTTTCCAGAGTATAACATCTCCTGTGGGGCAGAGAGCACTACTGCCCAGCTTGACCAGTAAATCCTTAGCAGAAATATATTTGAGAACAGTAGATTTTACAAGAAACAGAGAAGTATGAGAGGCTGTGATACAGTAGAAGTCCTTTGGGAACCTGTAACTGATTTGGTGTAAGGAGCATAAGTACCTATTTTGAGGAGTTTTCATCCCACAGGAATTTTGAAGTAAGGCAGACAGACCTCTGCTGGGGACATTTTCCTGACCTTCACAGCCAGCAGCCTCAGAGTTTGGCTCATAGAAAATTACCTGGGAGCATGGACCTCCCTTCCTGTGTCTTGTCTAGCCTTGGGACAAGGACTACCCTGGACAGCAGAGTCGATCTGTTTCACAAGGGACATCCCACATCCACCTTCGTCCCCTGTTCTTCTGGCCCATCCTGGAGTGTGGCTGCACTCTTCATTCTCTTCCCAGTGCTTGCCAGATCAACCATAAGGCCAATACAGGTTCCTAACTGTCAAAACACCACTCACTTTTGATCCATGCCAGTTTAATGAGCTGATGGGGTTCATGCAAGCTCAGATAAACACCAGAATCAGGACTCAGAGCATCAAGAGAAGCAGGACTTGTTGAACCCTCAGCTCTGTTCAGCCATTTCACCCACTGCACCCTTCCTTCCCATGCAAGGGCATGTTGACATTGTATCTAATGTCCTTCCTCTCTTGGCAGCTCTCCTCTCAAAGGACACTTCCCTCCTTTGCTGAGGGGAGATGTTACCCACACCCCCCCCCGCCATATAATGCCATGGCTTTGTCAGCAGCCAGGGAGCCACAGTAGCAGGGAAGATGGCAAAAACCTCCCCTGTATGTTTTACTCACAATCTGTTTTAGAAAGCAGGAAAGGAAACAAAGAGCATTTGCTGCTCCATCTGTTTCCATGTCCCATGCTGCACAGTTGGGTTAGAGCCAGCTGCTGCATTGCCAAGCAGTAACGCGGCAGCACTGCTGCTTACTCTGCAAAGGATGGTAAGGCAGAAAAAATTAGGACTGGAGGATTTTTTAAAAGCCCCATTGCAGAACACCTGGCTAGTTATATAAATGTACATCATGACTGCTAAGGAAAAAAAAAAAAAAAAAAAAAAAAAAAAAAAAAAAAAAAAGAAAAAGACAAACACACCAAACCTGCTGATTGGTGATTAAAAACATGTATTTTTACAAATGGTAAAATATCTTCAACTGTCCTTTTCCAAAGGACTGTCCTGGGCTATTCAATATCATCATCTTCAAAAAACACACAGGATTAATGAAGAACAGGGATGCTTTTTTCTTTTCTTCATACTTGCTAAGACCATTTGCCAGAGAGAACTCTCACAGCACACAATCCAAAGAACTTCAGCCAGCAATGCCTGCAACCAAACCAAGTCAGCCTGGTTCCATACAATAAGGTCTTTGAGACACTGGATACAAGAGGTCTGTGCTGAAATACTGGAGAATTCACCACATATGGTGAATTTGAGCCCAGCTCAAACCTCTAGCTCCCTGATATGGAGTTACAGACATGTTGGTTGGGAGGGATCTTTCATGAGCATTAGCTCAAACTCTTGCTTGAAATGAGATCATCACCAATACTAGATCAGGTAACCCATGGTTTTGCATAGCCAAACCTTGAAAATCTCCAAGGACAGAGATCTCATCACCCATCTGAGTATCTGAGTGAACTGTGATCCCCAATCAGTCCAGCACTTGATCTTTGTTGCAGCAAAGAGCTCCCCATGGTGAGCCCACATGGTAAACACTCATAGGAGTATCTGGGCAGTAGTTTGACCTATTTAACACAAGGCTTTCACAGAATGTTCTGTGGTATTATTGGCTCCCTCATCACAAGAGCACACTGAGCTGCTCCTGCTCCTGTCCCCTCTTTCAGCCATGGGGGCTTGGAGTGCTGGAGGCAGGAAGGGATGACAGATGAGCAGGAGACAAGGTGACAGCATGACAGCTCCATACTCACCATGCAGAAGGAGCAGAGAGTTTGGCGTCAGTAACCAGGGTTAGCCAGGGTCGAGTGACTGCTGACCCAGTGAGTGGGCCCGGCACAAGCTTCAGTGGAGTACAGCTGAGTTGAGGTCAAGGCTGAGGACCTGAGCTCAAATGCAGTTCAGGAGTAGCACAGGAAATCTCCAGTGAAGCATCTCCCAACATTCCCACCATTGCTGGTGCCCTGGAAGGTGCACCCAAGGCTACAGATGTACTGAGGCAGTGCTGGATGAAAGCCTAGCCACACAGACCTTGCGAAGTATTTTAGGCATCTACTTCCAGTGTCTCAACAAAGGAGCTGTTACTCCCTTCCTTGATGTACATGGAGACAGTTACTGTGGGTCTGGTGCTGGACTGGACTGGTTCCAAGTTGTTCAACCCAGTTTGTTAATAGAGGCAGAGCAAGGGCAGTGCCTGCTGGCCCAAACATCTAGGGCAATGTGCTGGCTGCACTCACATCTGTAGTATATCTGCCCAGGGATTGCCAGAACTCTCAGCCTGGGACATACAAGGAGGACAGCAGCACTGCAATCCTAAGCTTTCCATAGCTTTAGCATCACTAATCCTTCCACGCACCCACATGAGAAAGACCTCTCATGCTAGGACCTCCACCTGCCATTTCCTGACATGGAGTGTATGCCCAAGTATGAGCACCAGAAGAGCTGTTTCATGAAAGGGTGTACAACTCCAAACAGTTACTTCCACTTGGGAGCAGAATCTGAGGAACAATTCAAGCGTGATCTCAGAGAGCTGCCTCATTTTGCAGTTCCGCGGTGACAGTTGTACAGTATATCCTTCAGCCAAGAACAAGCAGCAACAAGATGATTTGGCCTGGAAACACTGATCTCTTACTGCATCTTACAGTGGTCTGGTGTTCAGAGCCTTACAATAAATTAAGGCAATTTCTTCTTTTATTAGCACTAGAGCCAGGGCCCTCTCCTCTCAGAGACACTGTGGTGTTTTTTTCCATGCTCTCAAGCTACTTCACATTCACCTCCTGCTGCCACTTTTGGTGTATTGATAACAGGCCTCGTGACTGGTGGGTTAGATTTCCCAGGTATGTGTCACAATGACCCACCTGTATCTCTGAAGGAGAACTGCCTTGTGTTATTGCATTAGGTACCACTAGCAGAAGTTTTCCTCAGCTCCTGACTGTCCGAGCTGTGAAAGTCTCTGAAAAAGTTCCCACAAAAGAAGCTTTTCCTTTAGATGCTTTATTTTCCCCCTCTGGGATTACTCTCCCCCTCCCTGAGTCACCAGTGTACCACTGGCACCTTTGTGCAAGGCTCAGCCTCAGAGCTGTCTGCTGTGCTGGATAACTGAACCTTCTGTCACCCAGCTTTCCTTCTCCAGCAGTAGGGACCTCTGCTCCCAAGTGTCCTAGATGTCAGCAGGTGTGTGACCCTCCTCTAGTGAGGAGGTTCTGCCTTTAAGATGGCTTCCTTGCTCTGCATTTTGATGCCCTTCTGCTGTGTGACTTTGTGCAGGTCAGCAAAGAGCTGCCAGCTCATGAGTTGGACTGACCTGAGATGTCATGTCAGTGCGCCCTTTGTGTCCTTGAGAGCCTCCAGTTTGCCCGTTTTGGCCTGAAGAGAGACAGGATCTCTTAGTGCAGAATAACACCCCAAGAGTTTGAGCTGTGGCAGCCAAGTGGTGATGTTTCAGTTCTTCAGCAAGGCTGCCAGACGTGTAGGTTGAAAACAGCCTGCACATTATCATCAAACCCTGAAATACACAAAATAAAATGAGAATGTTGCAAAAAAGAAGAATAGTTTGTCTGGTCCCTCCTGCAACCAACTTCCCACTTACAGTGTCAGGTCACTCATTTTAGGGGGCCCCGAAGCTGGGCCTTCTGAAACCTTTCATGTCCCCAGCATCTATTTTCAGCACGTTCAAAGGACCTTGCTAGCACAAAAAATACAATCAAACTGTTACAATTCTTACACACTAAGTCTACAGGAGCCCTTGAACAGAGACTATCAGGCTGCAATAAGCATTCTCCTAGTAGTACTGTTTTCCTGAGGACAGGTGTAGCCTGTATTGGCAAAGATAAGCAATATCTGCATCTCCACAGGAGGGATGCCAATTTAATCATGATAGAGCTACACCAGCAAATTTTTGTTTTCAACACAGACCTGGTTCAATTCCTTCTTTCCTTCCCTGCTAGCCTGTGCCTCAGCCCCTGAACTTTGCAGTCCCACAGAACTCAACTTCTCCTGCCTGCTTTCCCACAGCACCCCAGACATCTCCAGCATCTTCACAGCCCCTGTGGGGGTCCCCACTTGCCACTGGCCCCCAGCTGCAGGGACACACTCTCCTCCCCTCCCTTCCCCCCCCCCATAAGCACAGTGCAGCTGTGTGACCAGCTCACAAGTGCAGCAGCCATGATCTCACTGTCTCTCTATTTCCTATTTAAAAATGCAGTGCGAATTTCATGGAAATGTCTTCAGATCAAGTTACCCTCGAGTTCTCAATAGTGCCAAAATGACATTTGAAAGTAAGAGCAGTGCTCTGGATGGGACCCTGACCATTGGTTTGCATGAGGTCATTAATAAGCTGAATGGACTAATTTCTTACAGACATTTGCTCCCTGGTGTGATATGGGCCCCAAACACTCTGTTAGTGGGAAAATCCACCAAGTACCTGTCAAGTCTTGCACCCCCAGTTATAGGGTCTGAGGAATCTGAGCAGCTCAACCCTCAGGATTTGTCTCCACATGGGATTGTTTCTATTCTGGAATACCAGGATAAAAGATTCCTTAGAGTAGTGCCACATTGCAGCAATTACTGAGATACACGAGCTGTTCTGTGCCACCATGCCAAATAACATACCCCAAAGCAGAAGGTGATCTAGCAGGGCTGACCTTTAAGGCACGGCTTGTTTATTCAGAGTACTCAGCTGGCCGAGGAGCATGGCTCTACTTGTTCTTGAAGTCTCTGAACCTATGCTGTTTGTACACTGCTGGTGGATCTGTGCATCTGCTGGAGACACATCTGATGTTCCTACACAGCTTTGACCAGTCTACTATGTGCTCAGGATAGAGAAGAAACAGAAAGTCTGCAAAATGTGCCCAGACAAAGCTGCTGGGGCAAAAAAAGAGAAAACATCTGGGCAAACCCAGAGAATGGCAGCCTTACAGCTTAGGCTGACTCAAATGTCTGTACCTTCCTCGCTGGAAGGAGAGACAGCTCAACACCCAGCATGGGCAAAGGAGCTTCCCTCTCTCAATGCTCCACACTGGTTCAAGTCTCCCCTGCCACTTTCCATCCACGCTCTTGGAGGATGTCGGGAGTACCAGAGGGCAGAGCAGAACCAATAAAGCCTCATGTGCCCAGGGCAGGGGGAGGCAGCGTCGGGAGAACAAGGTTCACCGGTGCAGCTGTGATCCAGCGGCGCGCACAGGCCGCATCTGGGGCCCACAACTACAGCGCTGCCATAAGGTCCCCGAGAGCAAGATGTGACCTGCCAGACCACGGCTTTCCTCACAAAAGGGGTCACGACCGCTGACTTTTGGCATTGACTTGTTTCTCAAATAAGGCTTCCGTGGCTCCAAAACAGATGTGCCGGCTCCGCTTCCACTCTCGTTTCCACTCCTCGAGCCGGAGGAGTGGAAACTAACTTCCTCCGTTAGTGGCGACGCCGGAGCTCGGCGGACTCGGTCGGATTCGACAAAGGCCGCACCCGCCGCCAGGGCCAGCCCTCGACCCACGGCTTCGCCACTAACGCCGGCCTCGTCAGTCCCGATCAGCCCCGGCCCGCTCCCTCCCAGCACAGCAGCCCCCGGCAGAGGGACCCGGGGAGCGGTCGGGGGTCCCGGGTCGGGCCGCACCGCCCCCGGGCGGGGCTGGGATCGGGTTTCACATCCTGCCCCGCTCGCAGGCAGAGCGGCCATGGCGGAGAGGTAAGTGCGACCACCACGCACCTGTTGAGCGCCGGGAGAGGGGAGAGAGGCGTTGCCACTTCCCTGGGCAGTGGGCCTGGGCCGGGAGCCACTCCCGGCTCGGGTGGACGCGGGGCCGGGCAAGCCGACGCGGCAGGTGAAATGGAGCCGTGCCGTGCTGAGCCGAGCCGTGCCGAGCGGTCAGACTCGTGCGAGGCGGTGGTCCCGGGCCACTTCCCGTCGTGGTGGGGCTGTCTGTGGTGGGGCCTCCTTCTCGCACTGCTCTAGCTCCCGCCGGGGCCTCTGCTTGGGGCCGGGACTGGGCTATTTGCTGCCTCCGAGCAAGGCAGGCGGGCAGCCGTGAGCTCGGCCGAGCGGGGCCGGCCCGGCCCTGACTCGAATCCTCCCTCTTGCTTGGCCCCGGCGCCTCCTCGGAGGCTGCGGCCGGATTCTGTCGGGTGCCCTCGAAGACGGGCGGCTCGTCGGGACCACACCATGGTTTTGTGCCCGTTCCAGCCCAGGCTCGGTGGCACTGGGCTGGGTGCCCCCGTAGCTTTCTATTTTTCGCTTAAAAAATAACCGCTTTTATGGAATGATATTGAAAATACTGTCGGGTGTGGCTGTTGCACTGTGGCCAGGAGAGGGTTCTGTCCTCTCCTGGAAGTGGGTAGGGAGACAAGATCACCTGTTGGCAGTGAAAATGGAGGGCTAGGTAGCCAGGCCAGTTTCCCAGGCTGCATCTGGCTTCCGACAAACGCAGGCGGATTTTACGGGTCCAATGAATAACCCTGTTGATTGAGAACTGTTCCTGTTCCCTCTGCGCCTGGGATCGTCGGCCAGAAGTGGTTAAATTAAATTTGGTTCTGCCACGAGGAAAGTGCAGAGCCTAGGAGAAGTGCTGTCCTTGCTGTTGGTGATGCCACTTGCTGTTGTGCTGGTTTGCCGGTGTTTTTTTTTCATCCTAGCTTAAATACATGACCGATTTAAAATTCCTGCAGTGCAGCTCTCCAGGGGTACCAGATTTCAGCTGGCTTCTCACATTCTTGTTGGCTGGGGGAGAGCTGCACTGGCCTTTTGCTCAGTGCCTCATTGGTGATGCAAGTGCTTGGAATAATTTTTAATTTCTCTTGCATTTGAAGTTGTTTTATTTCTTTTTACTTCTGCATCTCCTACAGCAGACCAGGAGCATCTTGGGATGGGATAGCAAATCCCATTGAGAGTGGCCCTAGAATTCAGACAGAGCAAAATGATGAATACAGTCACATTCTCTCATCTTGCCAGGAACAGCAACTCACAGCAGCTGCTTCTGCCTCTGTGCTTGTGACAGCCAAAGATGCTTGGAGATTGAGGTTGTAGATTCCTCATTTTGGGGTAAACTCTAAAGCCTGAGAAAATTGTGTAGATTTGAGGCTATCATTCCACTAGCTAGAGCAGATGAGTACGGAGCTTCTTGTCCTGGTTTTTACTGTGTTTTACCTGTGTATCCCTCACTGTATCTTTAGTGCTTTGGAATTTGGATTTTGCTGGGTTGATGAGACAACTCTTCCTATCAGTTGGATAGAGGCTATTTGGAGGGATGCTGAGATCACAGTGGATTATAGGAGTGCAGATTTGGAAGCCACAATTTTGTTCAGATAGTTCACATGACTTCTGTATTCACAACAAGTTTGCCTAGCTGAAACAGATATCTTGGCCTTAGTTGGGCGAACATAAGCTACAGTGAGATCTCAGTCCACAGGTTCGGTGCATTTTGTAACTGAGAGAATTTTACGGTTATCCTTGTGATGCAAAAGTCTGCCTTCAGCCTGACCCTGACTGGATTTGCAGCAGAAATCCTCATGGGAGACATGCATGCGTAATATGTCATGCAAAACAGGGCTTACCGAGTGCTGCCCTGCTTTAGGGGCACAAAAAAGTGCCTCCCATTCAACTGACTTACTTTCTAGAAAAATGTAATGTGTGGTACAAAGATGAAAGGAGAGCCTGGAATTCCTGTAGTGAGGTGCCTATGGGGTAAGAGCATCTTGTGGATTTCAGTGTATTAGTGTCTGAGCTTTGAGGCATTTTTAAAACTTGTTCTGCCATTCTTTTGAGGCTGCCTTCACAGGATTGGGGTAACCGCCTGATAACAAACGGGTAAAGTTTTGTAAACCAGGGACCAAGGGATTTTTTCTCCTGAGAGCCATGGAGGAAGAATTATTAGCATTGTTGAGGGACTGTGGGAAGAGCTTTAAGATACACAAAATCAGCTTTAATGGAATTACTTCTGCAATTAAAGGTAACAATGCATAAACAGCTGTAGGATTCTGACTTTTTGGCCCATGAGGATGGTTTGATTTTTTTCTGCTGACAGTGCCGATTTAATAAATATTCATGTTCATTAATCCTTTTTTTTTGAATCATACATGTCATATCTGTATTTCCTGATGGGTAAATGCTTTAGTCATGATACTGCTTGGGTTACTATTTTACTTATGGAGAAGAAAGCTTTTAAGGCTGCACTTGCTGTTTTAGTAGCATGTTTTTGGCTGTTTGAGTTAAACAGCCTCAGGATGGGTGCAGAGGGAGATCTTCCAGCCTACCCAGAAATACTGAGGTTGCTGAAGTCATGTTAGCTGGGTGGAAGGACTGGGAATGGTACTAAGTGTGCAGGAAACAGGAAACCTGCTGTTCTGGTTGGCTGTTTTAATTTGATTAATAAAAAATGTAATGTGTTTTGTTGTGATTACAATGAGGACTCTTAATTTTGTTATTGAATCTTGAGTCATTTTAGTATAGTTTGTCATTCTTAATTAATTCAGGCTTTGAGTTTGCATGAATACCAGTTTCCATGTTTTTTAGCAACTTTAATTTAGGCGCAAATGAAAACTTTGACACTTCATCACCCTGCCCTGGAGCTGCTGATGGGCTCTTTGTGCCTGAATTCAGCTGTGACTTTGCAGCAGAGGAGTCTTCTGGTTTTGGCAGAGCATCCAAGCCTCTCACTGTTGTGCCGTGCAGAGCCCTCCACATCCTCTGAACTGGGTCCATGTGTCCTGTTCTGGTTTAGCCTCTTCTTAGCTGGCTTAATAAGGCCATGAATAAACATCCTCTCTGTAGCTAACTTTGACTGGAGGACAAGCCCGTGCCCCTCAGCAGGTCATCCCACTCTTGTCTGCTGAATTAGCCTTTTCCTGTATGGGCTGTATTCTGGTAGTTCACTTGGCAGTAAATAAACTGGGATAGTAAAAGTCTCTGTTAGCTCTGCAAAATCAGTAGAAATAAGTGCAGGTGGGAGAAGTTATCAGCAAGCCTGACCTCTGCCATATGCTTGCTCCTGTTGTCACCACTCCTCTAAACATGCTGCTGAGCTGGTAAGCTTACCCGGGAGTTTCCTCGGAATGAAATATTTTAGGGGTGACGGGCTTTAAGTGAAGCCAGGAGTTTGTTTTCTTCCAATAGCTCTTCTGGCAGAAGCAGAAGAGGGACTGTAGAGGACAAGGTGGTTGTCCTGTCTACCATCACTGCAAAACCTTTTTAAGGTGCTTCTATCAGCATGGCCCAGAGCTAGCTCCAAAGGGCAGTCAAGCCTTCCAATGTTTGCCTATGCAGATAAAGCCTAGTCTTTAGGAAACGCCTTTAGCCTGATCAGAGTCTTTTGATGGAAACTAATCAGAAGTTCAAAGGAAAGGACTGTTTCCTCCTTCTTGTTGTCTCCTTTTCCAATGTTTTTGTTCCTGCTGTACTCCTCAAATGGCTTTCTCAGTGGATGATGCAATTAGGAGATGCTTGCAAGCTTTCAGCAAATAGATAGGTCAGAAATTGAATTGCTCCATTTAGGCTCCATCAGTCCTTCCCAAGTGGAGTGCAATTATTTGTGCCTTGTTGTGATGTTTGCATTTCTATAAAAAGCCCCACAGGCAGATTCAAATAGTTCAGGAAGTCCCTCTTATCTGTAATAAAAAGAAATTCCGGAATAGGCACTGGGATTTGGTTTTAGCTGGATTCATAGGAGCTTCCTGAGTTCTGCTGTCATTATTACATATTTAATGTTAATTCCTGCCTTTGCCAAGAAAGGCTATTCCTGCATAGGAAAGACGGCTTTAATGAACAAATAATTTCTTGTGCTTTCTAGTAGCTCAGTTGTGAGTATCCATTGAAGCAAGCTGTCTGTTTGATGGGTTTTATGCTTTTCATGAGGAAGAATAATCTGCTTTGGATAGTTTCTTAAAACAGTCAGTTCTTGGTGTGGCAGGAAAGTATTAACTAAAGCAGCAGCCATGAGGTCTGTCTGGTTCATACACCTGGAAGAGACACTGTAGGTCAAAAGAAAATTCTTTTGTGCTTGGTCTTTGTCTCATGGGATAATGGAAATACCATTATATGGTATATATTCTCTCATCCTAATTATGGTTCCGAGGTTTTAAGGTTACTGCTGTATGGATTAAGTGTTTTTTATTTCCAGTTGAGTGTAGCCCAATAAATTCCAGTGTAGCTGGTGTCAGCTATCTTCCAGCTACTCTCCCAAGCTTTTTTCTTTGTGCATTGTCAGCTGCCATTTTTTGGTTATGCAACTCACACAGCCAAGAGATATTTGGAAAACTTAAAATGAGAGTGCTGGAGATCTAGACTGTTTGCTTGCAGTGAAGCATGGGAGAGGGAAAGGACTCTGTGATTCCCAGGCAAGTGTGGGCATGGCAAGGAGACATGGCCTCCCCTTGTTATGTGCTTCAGGCAAAAAGAAGGGGCTTGAGGTAGACAATATCAGCTTTAGAAAATTCTTCCTGAAAAAAACACACTGAAAGACTAAAGTGCTGGAGATGCTGAGTTTATTTTTTTTCAGGCTCTTTTGTCTCATTGTACTTTAGGTCTTGTATGAAATTCCAGCAAGGGCTCTATGCTGCAGAGTGCTAGAATTTCTGAAACAAAAAGGTCTTAATAAAATTGTTTGCTGACATCTTCATCAACCACCAGAGGCAAATAGAAGTCTGGTTCTCTAAGGAGGGTGTATTTTCTTATCCCTCTTGTATTCTGCTTGTGCCCAGCACTCTGAACCAAGCTCTTGGAATGCTTTGCCTTCCTCAGTGGCAAGTACTTTGACACAGACGAAGTGAAGATGAACAGGGAGCAACCAGTGCTCCCCAGACTTGCTATGTGTTCTTGTCTCAACTTGAAGCAGAGCAGTCCTGGGCCTCTCTAAACCAACCTTTTTCTTAGCTGCAGGGTTTATGATCTACCAAAATCAAACAAGCCAAGCAGTAATGGTCCCCCACACAAACCTGTGTTGGGTTCACTTGTGTGTGTAACTTCGCAGCTGTCGGACACTGCCATAAGGCACTTTGCTGTGACAGATGGGGCTGCTTCCTACCTGAGCAAACAAGGTTGCTGCTTTTTGCCTGGAAACCTGTTAAGTGAGGCAGAAAAGACTCAGTGTAGTGGGATTTTGTATCATTGTGGACATCATGAACTTGTGGCCCAGGGCCAGGTGCACTGTAGCAGGGATAGTCTCTTTGTTCTGTAGGTCTGTTTTTTTTCTGTTAGCCTTTGCTTGTGTCATTCATCTGGGAAAAAATAAACTGAGAGGCTTACTGTCTCCATCACTAGTGATACCAAGAAAATCCCTGCACAATGCTGCCTGAGGACCTGAGACTGAGCTCAGCAAATCAGCTTTAACCACGTGGAGTTCAGCTTTCTTGGGTTTTTCTGACTGAGGCAGTGCAATATGTTGTGTACAAGCAGCCAGGGCTCAGGTTAGAAGGA